ACATGGACCTCACCAGATGTCATGCACAGGAATTAAATTGACTACATCTGTGGGAAGAAATGGTGGGAAAGGTCAGTCTTATCTGCCAAAACAAGGTCAGGGACAGACTGTGGAAACACACCATCAGTTGTTCAGGAGGAAGCCAGAGAAAATTAAAAAACAAGTTCACAAGAGCCAAATTCTGACCTGTAATATATCCCACCTGAATTTAGAAACCGTCTCCTGGACAGAGCTGATGCATTTGACTCTAATGACCAAAGAGCAGAAGAGTTGTAGCATGACATCAAGGACATCATAGATAGGTATGTACTGGTGACAATCACATTAGTAAGGTATGCTCACCATGGAATGATCAGTCGTTTAAAATCAGAAGGGTAACATTTACCTAGGGACAAAGTTGACTAGGGATGGGAAGGTGAGTGGACTGGAAATAGAAACCACAGGGAGGAAACAGGATAACTGTGGTTGCATATAGGGGATTACAATCATTGAGATAAAACAAAGTGTATGATTTCTTGAATATAAAACTGATATCTATAAACTTTCACTCAATTCACAATAAAAAGTTAAAAAAAAAAAGCATCATACAAGAAGAAAGCACAAAGTCATTAAAAAGACAGGAAAGAAGGAAAAGACCAAATGGATGTCATAAGAGACTCTGAAACTTGCTGTCAAGTGTAGAGACGCTTAAGTGATTGGAAGAAATGAGGAAGTGAAAGAGCTGAACAGAAAGTTCCAAAGGGTAACTCGAGAAGACAAAATGTGCAAAGCCTGGAATTAAAAGGCCAAAAGGGAAGAACACACTCAGCATTTCTCAAGGTAAAAGAACTGAGGAAAAAATTCAAGCTACAGGTTGCAGTATTGAAGGATTCAATATGGACAAATACTGAATGATATGGAAAATATCAAAAGAGATGGAAGGAATACAGAGTCACTGGACCAAAAAGAAATAGTTGCTGCTTAGTCATCTCAAGAGGTAGCATATGATCAAGAACCAGTGATACTGAAGGAAGAAGTCTACGTTGCACTGAAGGCCTTGGCAATCCAGGAGTTGATGGAATTAAAAAAAAAAAAAATCTGTTAACAAACTGACGCAGTTCTGGAGGTGCTCACTCATCTATGCCAAGAAATCAATGGAAAGATCCATATTTGTGCCCATTCTAAAGAGGGGTGACCCAATGTAACATGGAAATCATTGAACAATATCATTAATATCACATGAAAGTAAAATTTTGCTGAAGGTAATTCAAAAATGGTTTAAAGAATACATTGAAAAGGGAAAAATAAAGAATACATTGAAAGGGAGCTGCCAGAAATTCAAGCTGGATTCAGAAGAGGACATGGGATAAGGGCTATCATTGCTGATGTCATATGTATCTTGATTGAAAGCACAGAGTACCAGAAGGATGTTTGTTGTTATTGTTGTTAGGTGCCATTGAGTTGGTACCAACTCATCAGTGCTACTGTGTACAACAGAATGAAACACTGCCTGGTCCTGGGCCAACCTCACAATTGTTGCCATGCTTGAGCCCATTGATGCTGCCACCTTGCTAATCCATCTCACTAAGGGTCTTCCTCTTTTTCTGTGACCCTCCACCTTACCAAACATGATATCCTTCTCCAGGGACTGGTCCCTCCTGACAATATGTCCGAAGTGTGGGAGACGAAGTTTGGCCATCCTGGCCTCCAAGGAGCACTCTGGCTGCACTTCTTCCAACATCGATCTGTTGGTTCTTTTGGCAGCCCATGGTACTTTCAATATTCTCCTCCAACACCATAACTCAAAAGCATCAGTTCTTCTACAGTCTTCCTCATTCACTGTCCAGCTTTCGCATGCATATGAAGCTATTGAAAATACCAAGGCTTGGGTCAGGCACACCTTAGATTGCTCTTCAACACTTTAAAAAGGTCCTGTGCAGCAGATCTACCTACTGCAATACGTTGTTTGATTTCTTGACTGCTGCTTCTGTGAGTGCTGATAGTTGATCCAAGAAGAATGAAGTCTTTGACAACTTCAGTCTTTTCTCCGTTGATAAGAATGTTGTTTATTGGTCCAGTGGTGAGGATTTTTGTTTTCTTTATTATTGAGCTGCAATCCATACTGAAGGCTGCGCTCTTTGATCTTCATCAGTAAATGTTTTAAGTCCTCTTCTTTTTCAGCAAGCAAGGTTGTATCATCTGCATATCGCAGATTGTTAATGAGTCTTCCTTCAATCCTGATGCCATGTTTTTCTTCATATAACCCAGCTTCTCAGATTATTTGCTCAGCATACAGGTTGAGTAAGTATGGTGAAAGAATACAACCTCGTCGCACACCTTTCTTAATTTTAAACCATTCAGTGTTCCCATGTTCTGTTCAAACAACTGCCTCTTGGTCCATGTACAGATTCCTCAAGAGCACAATTAAGTGTTCTGGATTACTCAGACTTCACAATGTTGTCTGTAGCTTGTCATGATCCACATAATCGAAAGCCTTTGTGTAATCAATAAAACACAGGTAAACATCTTTCTGTTATCCTCTGCTTTCAGCCAAGATCTATCAGACATCAGCAATGATATCCCTCAGTCCACATCCTCTTCTGAATCCAGCTTGAACCTCTGGAAGTTCTCTGTCAATGTATGCTTGCAGTTGTTTCTGTAATACCTTTAGTAAAACTTTACTCGCATGGGATATCAAAAAGATTGTCTGATGATTTAAGCATTCCGTTGGGTCACCTCTCTTTGGAATGGGCACAAATGCGGATCTCTTCTAATCAGTTGGCCAGATAGTTGTCTTCCAAATTTCTTGGCAGAGATGAGTGAGTACCTCCAGTGCTGCCTCACTTTCTTGAAAGATTTCAATTTTTATTCCACCAATTCTTGGTGCCTTGTTCTTTGCCAATTCCCTTAATGTACCTTGGACTTCTTCCTTCAGTATCATTGGCTCTTGATCATATGCTACCTCTTGAAACGGTTGAACATCAACCATTTCCTTTTGGTACAGTGACTCTTTGTATTCAAGTAAACATTCACAAGGATGTTTACTTGTGTTTCATTGACTACGAAAAGGCTTTTGACTACATGGATCATGAAAAAACTATGGATAACACTTGATTGTGCTTACGAATAACCTATACACAGACCTAGAGGCAGTTGGTCAAACAGATCCAAGGGGATACTGAATGATTTAAAATCAGGAAAGATGAGTGCCAGGACTGTATCCTTTCACCATACTTACTCAGTCTGTATGCTGAGGAAATAATCCAAGAAACTGAAATATATGAAGAAGACCATGACATCAAGATTGGAGGAAGACTCATTAATAACCTGTGATATGTAGATGATACAACCTTGCTTTTTGGAAGTGAAGAGGACTTCAGATATTTACTAATGAAAATCAAAGACTATACATCCTTCAGTATGGATTACACCTCAATGTAAAGAAAACAAAAATCCTCATCACTGGACCAATAAATTACATCATGATAAATGGAGAAAAGATTCAAATTATCAAAGACTTAATTTTGCTTGTATCCATAATGAAAACTCATGGATGCAGCAGTCAAGAAATCAAATGACATATTGCATTAGGTAAAGCTGTTGCACACGACCTCTTTAAAGTGTTCAAGAGAACTAAGGTGTGCCTGACCCAAGACATTGTATTTTCAATCACTTCATATACATTTGAAAGTTGGACAATAAATAAGGAAGACGATAGAAGAATGAACGTATTTGAGTTATGGTGTTGGAGAAGAGTATTAAAAGTACCATGGACTGCTAGAAGAACAAACAAATCTGTCTTTGAAGAGGTGCAGCTGAATGCTTCTTGGAAGCCAGATGGTCAGACTTTGTCTCTCATACTTTAGACGTGTTATCAGGAGAGACCAGTCCCTGGAGAAGGACATCGTGCTTGGTAAAGTGGAGGGTCAGTGAAAAAGGAAGACCCTCAATGAAACAGAGTGATGAAGAGGCAGTAGCAGTGTGCTCATGCAAAGATGGTGCAGGACTGGGCAGTGTTTTATTCTAATGTGCATAGGGTCACTATGAGCAGGAACCAACTTGATGGCAATAACAATGAACTTTTTGAAACTTCTTTTTGTTGTTTATTTCTTGTCTGTTGCCTCTCCTCTACCTCCAAACCCAGTGCCCCCTCTCTCACTCACTGCAAACTCCTTGAGGTTAAGGACGTTGTCTCTAGAATGGGGCCTGGAGTATAGAAGATTATCAATAAATAGTTGTTGATTGAACTTGAAAGAAACTTGTTAGGTCCCAGAAATGTAGAACTTAAATCCTGAATGGTCCATGGTAAACTGAGCCTGGGGAGGTTATGAGACCCAGATCTAAGTTTCTGCCTAGGCTGTAGGGCATCAGACTGCTCCCATGTGGCAACAGAGAACTGTGTACCAATCTAGTAGCTAAGAAATTAATGTAAAAATTAGTTTTAGAAACAAACAAGTTGACAGTCATGCTTGTATAATCCAGAGTTCTTGGTATTATACTAGAAAAAAAAGATCTTTATCGAAGGTAAGCATTTAATAAAAGATTACAAAGTACACAAAGAATGACTGACCAAGAGGGAGAGGCAGCCGACTCAGCAAATATGAGCATTAATGTCCTAAACCTTCTAATGGAATAGTGAAATAAATGATAAAAGAAGTGCTGAAAATCACTAAAGTACGAAAACAAGGAATAAAAGTCATAGGTCAAGAATAGAAGGTCTCTTCACACCATGAAGAGAGAAGAAGCAGATTTGAAAAAGAATCGCCGTAGACTAGTTAAATAGGAGAGTAGGCATAATCGAAAAGGCTTCATGAACTGGGAACTCAGAGGTTTATGTAGGAGATGCTTTACCTGCGAATGCGTACCTGAAACTTTTATTGATCCCAACACTGGTATTGGGGTGAGAGTTCTTCCCATTCAGGAAAGAAAACTGCTAAGTCAAGTTGATGTCTCCTCTGACTAAGCCTTGCCACATTTATTGCGGTCAAAGTCTGCAATACCCGGTTTTTTCTCTTCTACAGGTCAAATCACCAGGATTTTCATCTGAGGGATTTAAGAATAATTGAACCCAACGAGGTATCACACTCAGGAGATCCAGGTGCAGAAACAGGTAATAATTTTGCCTATAAATTAGGTTGAAATAGGATTTGAGACCGCTCCACTCCACCCCATCCCACTCCCAAGGTGGCAGAGCAGAGAGGGGAAGGGATTAATCATTGTGTACAGCAGAGGGTGAGAAGGGTTATATATGGAAATTAAAAACCAGTTTGTCCTTTGGTTTCCTAGGTGGTTAGTTGCTATTTCTATATATTTACAACCTTTTGAAGATAATAAGTTAGAGAATTAAGAGTTTTTGTGTTTTTCCAAAATGTGGTGATAGACTTTTATTGAAAAAGTACTATTTCTGTCTTCTAATTTCTAATATTGTCTTTGTGAATCCTGGTGTGGTGCAGTTAGATAAGCGCTGTACTGTTTACCACAAGGTTGGCGGTTCAAACCTACCAGCTGGTCCTCAGAAGTCCTGTACAGGATTTCTGTGAGGTGGAAATGACTCGATGGCACTTAACAACAACAACAACAACAACAATAATATAGTCCTTTGTTGACTGTGACTGCCTTGGAAATCAGCTTTTAGCTTTCATCGTAACATTATGAAATGAGTAACGTTCATAATATACTATTGGTCTTTATAAATTTAGTGTGCATTTAGGAAAATTTGCGGGGGGTAGCAATTTCTGTGTTAATCATTTTCCTCAAATCTCGCTTAATTATGTCTTGAGTTGCCAGAAATCTGAATTCTGATTAAGTGGCATATTGCTGTATTTCTACCCCATGTAAATTTGTGCTTTTCTGTAGACCATCTAGGAGAACCACAGCATTTCCTTTTAGTTAACGAAAAGTTGATAGTTCATATGAAATCATGACTGTGTATTCACCCCTTAGAACAGGGGTGGGGAATGGCCAGTCTACGGGCCATATAAGGCCTGAGGAATCATTAGGTCTGACCCTACCAAGGCAACCACAATTGCAACCATCACATTTGTTGTTGTTGTTAAGTGCCGTTGAGTCGGTTCTGACCCTGTACAGGGTTTCCAAGGCTGAAAATCTTTACAGGAGCAGAAAGCCTTATCTTTCTCCCACAGAGCAGCTGGTAGTTTTGAACTGCTGACCTTAAGGTTCTCAACCCGATTCGTAACCACTATACTACCAGAGCTCCTTAGATGTGAATTAATTAAATGACCAAATATAGCAGGCTAATTTTAAGTTGACACTTTTGTGTGGCCCTCGAATGAGGTTATAAATTTTGGCAGTGAAAAGCTTCCCCACCTCTGCTGTAGATCAGTGGTATAATAGGATGGCATTTTAGGCTTTTTTTTTTTTTTTAATTTGATTGTTTCCAACAACATTTTTAGGTAGGAGAGGAAGAAGAAAGAAGGAATGGGAAAAGGAGGAAGGAAGGAAAGGGGAAAAGTTGATAGACTCGTTAGATTTAGAATTGGAGGAGAACTTCTTTTTCTAGTTCTCTTTTTATTATATGTGAGGAATACACATTCAGGGAGCTTCATTTCTCCAAGTTGTAGACCCCATCTGGAAATTGGAACCCATATGCCTGGAGTTCGTTGGTTGTAGAATGATTTAGGCCTTCGATAATAGGGTGTAATAGAGCATTGGGTTGGGAGTTGCTTAGACTAGACCTGGGTTCTGGTTCCTGATGTACCAATTGTATGATTTGGGCAAGTGGGTACCTCCTCTTAACTATTATTCCTTAATCTGTCTGTAAAAATAATGATACCTCCCTTGGAGATTATTGTGAAAAGTAGCACTAATGTAGGTAAACCCTCAGCTCTTGCTCAGCTGTCAAACAGAAAGACAAAGTTATCAATGACTGGGTTTCTGTGCATGTGTTAAGATGCACAAACTGGAGTAAGCCAGCCCCCATCTTGGTCTTATAACAAGGTATGTTGGAACCTCAGCTGGTGCTTTAAATCCAGACTCACAGAATATTTCTTGAGCACATAAAATGTATCAGAAGCTGTGCTCGGTGCTTTCACACATGGTATCTTGTTGAATTCTCGTAGCCACCCAGTGAGGTGATTATGGTGTGCTTTTTATGTATTTACAGACAGTGAAAAGTCTTCTGTGTGATAAAGGCAGAAGGATAGGGAACCTTGGGTCTAAAAGCAGACCCTCATATGTCAGAAACTTAGAGTCATTCTCTTTAAGTTATGATTTACGAGTACCTGGCAGTACATGAGCTATTGTTACAACATGTGCTAGGGCTCTTGCCCTTGGCTTCCTACTTCTCAGCACACCCTGCTGAGCTCTTGGCTGCTCCTAACATTGCTGCAGAGTAACGTATGTGATGTGGAACGGGCAGATGCTATAATACGAAATCTTCTAAGATCCTGATTTTTTTTCCTTCTCTCTGAAAAGATCACAGACACAAAGTTGTGACTTTCATTCAGCTGTTGTTGGTTGAGCATATTCCATATGCTGTGTGTTGTGCTGAGTGCTATGTGTTAGGTACTAGATGTTAGGGGAGATGAAGGTGCCAAGGTCCCTGCCTTAAAGAGAAGCAGTATACATACCTGTTGCACCAATTATATAGTTAATTGTGTTAACTATTAAGTAATTTAGTGAACTCTTAATAATAACTGCAAACTGTTTCTGAGTGCTTTTCATATGGTAACTCACTTATTTCTCATAAAAGGTACCCTGCGAGGGCCACCAGCCACAACTTTCAACTCTTCCATCTTGGCTGCCTTTTTACCTCAATGACCAAGTCTTGTAAATGCCCTGTTTTGTCTCTTCCTCCCTGGCTCTTTCAAGGTCTCTTGTCATTGTAGCTACAGCTGCCTCAGCCACGGTCCCACACTGAATTCACCTCAGGGGATCTGCCACCCCTGCCATAGCCCATTGTCACAGTTCTCACCCAGTGCTGTCCTCTCCACCTTTGCTGACTGTTGCTGTCACTGCCCTTCACCACATTCTAAGTGTTACAATAGTGACAGTTCTTCCCATGTATGGCATTGAGCTGCCAAAGAAGTGGCTACATTTGACCAGTGAGGCCAGTCTGTTGGGAGAGGCCTGAAGGTAGAGACAAAAAGAAGAGGCAGAGTACTGAGAGTGGCTGATGGGGGCAGGTGGTGGTGTGGAGGGCATTAGAGTGACACTCACGATGCTGCTGTTTTGAGTGGGCTAAATCTGCTATCAGAAGGAAGAAATGGAGATGCGGCAGGAGCTGGGGCTGAAGGTCAGAATGTGGTGCTGACGAGGCAGGTTAAGGTGACCAGGAAGCAGAACATAGCTTTAAGCAGTTCCATTTTGCCTTTCATTCTTTTCAGTTTGAAAAGTTTGCACTTGCCATTACTTATGTTGACTTCTGATGAAGTTGGTGATTGATAATGTTAACACATACTGTACTCAGTGCTCACCTTACATGAATAAGTACCCAGTCAGGGCCATCAAAATCCCTGAGTCAGAATATGCCCAAACAGAATCCAGTCCTACAAGGAAGTAAATGATCTTAAGAGAAAGTTTATTAGCATATGTGTGGATACCTGGTGTGGTGCTGTATGCTCCACAGAAACCCTATACAGGGTCTCTATGAGTCGGAACCAACTCAGTGGCACTTAACAACAACATCACCATATGTTTAAGGATCCTTGCTAGCTTGTTGTTGTTATGTGCCGTGGAGTCGGTTCCGACCCTTAACAACCCTGTACAGGGTTTCTGAGGCTGTAAATCTTTACCGGAGCAGAAAGCCTCATCTTTCTCCTGCAGAGCAGCTGATAGTTTCGAACTGCTGACCTTGTGGTTCGCAGCCCAATTCGTAACTACTTCTCTACCAGAGCTCCTTGGTAGCTTAGTGGAGTATAAACTGGAGTGCTAACAGCGAGGTCAGTAGTTAAAATCTAGTCGCTCTGTGGGAGAAAGAGGAGACTTTGTGCTCCTGTAAAGATTCACAGTCTGAGAAGCCCTTTACAGGGTCGCTATGAGTTGGAACCGATTCAGTGGCACATCACCACCACCACTACCATCACCATCATCCGGTTAATGAACCCTGGTGGCTCATCAGGTTGTGTTAGCTAATTGAAAAATTGTCAGTTCAAACCCTTCAGCTTCTCTGTGGGAGAAAGTCTGTTCCCATAAGGAACTACAAAAGACCCCATACCCAGCAGGGTGGAGGCCACAGCAAGTTGGAGAATGAATCCTTGAAGATAATCTTGTATAATGGCCTTAATATGACTCTATTACTTACGTTGTCATGTACTAGAATGTTTTTGGTTCTATAAAATATTTTTGTTTGTTTAAAAATGAATTGGAAATGTTCATTCTGCTTTGAATTCTAGCAATATAATTTTGTGCTATTATATGGGATATAATAAAATATGTGCAATCATTGTTCCATAATAGACTTATTGTGAAGTCATTTTATGCAACCATGGGATTTACAACTATGATATTAGAGCAGCTAACTAATAAATTTTTTTCAGAAAAGATATTTTTTGAAGAACCAACTAAAGTGGTTTTTAAGTCACTTTGTATTATTTGTGCATTCACTGCATAGAAATCAGCCCTGCCTTCTAGTCTTAGAAGTGAAAGGGGTAGCTTAGACATTCAGAATGAGTGTGTCAGTGTTCTTGCCACATAGTAGCCATTTGCAAGTGGAACTTAAGTGCTGTACACATTAGTGTTTCTGGCAGCTTTGGGCTTGGTTTGTTGGTGGGTTGGCTAGTTTGAAGATGAAATAGCGTAGAAGGTGGAAGGTTTTTCTCTTTAGGGCTCCCTTGGAACCCAGGCATTAAGTTACACAGGGCAGGCTGGTTTTGGAACAAACTCTCCTGTTGTTGCAGACGGCAGAATGGCTCCCAAGATCACATCGGAGCTGCTTCGGCAGCTGAGACAAGCCATGAGAAACTCCGAGTATGTGACAGAGCCGCTTCAGGCCTACATCATTCCGTCGGGAGATGCTCACCAGGTAGAGTGGAGACAGTGATGGAGCGCACTCTTCCCCCTCCCCAACCCAAATGTATGTGCAGGGATTTTTGCTGTCAACCTGCAGCTAAGCAGCCTGCCAGGCCTTGGCATAGGGTCTGTGTCCATTAGAGTCTCACCAAATATTAACTGACTTGGCCCAGGCTTCCTTGTTTTTTATGAATATGGTCAGTTTTCAATAAGTTCTCGAAGAGTTAGATAAAGGAGCATGAATCTTGGGTCTTTGCTGTTTATTGACACCCTCTATCCCTGCTTCCCCATGTCCCCTTGTCCCCCTAAACTCCGTGTCCCATGAATTTCCAGGCTAACAGGTGTTAGGGATGATTCTGAATTTCACACTCCACCCATCTTTGATGGAGTCCTGGTATGGCGCTGTAGGATAAGCACAGGACTGCTAACTGTAAGTTAACTGCAAGGTTGGCAGTTCAAACCTACCAGCTGCTCTCAGAAACCCTATCCTAGGGTCACTATGAGGCAGCAGTGACTCGACAGCACTTAGCAACAAGAACAACAACCCATCTTTGCTAGAAGCACCTCAATAAGTGTGCTTTCCCTAGGAGAACACTGTTGACAGAAAGATGTAAGAGTTGGGTTTAGAAAGGTGGGGACCTTACGTGATGGGGTTGTAAGGCAGGAGAGTGAGAGGATTCTAGGGTCTATACTTTTAGGTCATTAAGTCAACTAGTGTTTGAGTACCTACACCGTGGGCCTGGTACTATAGGGATTACAAAGTGAAGTTGAGTTCCTGCCTCTACTGTGCTTAAAGTTTATTAGAGTAGATGAGACAAAAGACAGCGTGCTGTTCGTCTCTAGAGTTAGCTATACAAATATTTTCCCTAGCCTTTGCTGTGTGAAAGGCTTTACCTTGGTATTATAAAGGCTACACAGGTGAGAATTGTTCCTGGTCTCAAGAAACATACAGTTTAGTCATAGAATTATGGCATATATATATATAGTTGCTGTCGAGTCGATTCTGACCCATAGCGACCCTGTATAGCGTTTCCAAGGAGCAGCTGGTGAGCTTGAACCACCGACCTTGCAGTTCAAACAACTTTGCAGTCTGATGCATTAGCCCACAGTGCCACATCAGGACACCTTTTTTATATAAGGTAGAATGTGGTAAGGACCAGCAGGAAAATCTGGATAGAGAAAGTTTGAGAATGAGAGGGAACAATGAGGGAGGACTTCATGGGGCAGGGGAAGCATTTGAAGTGGACCCTGAAGAATGGGAGGTTTTTGAGTGAATAGCATGGGGCGGAGGGATTGGATTATAGATGCAAGGATTAGTAGAAGCAAAGGCAGAGAAGCAGGGAAGCTTGGAGTACTTTTCAGAAAAAACTTGGCTACTTTTCCTGGCAAGAGCCCAGGGAAGTGAAAAACAATAGCAGAAAATAAGACTGGTGTTACATGATTCTTTAATTGCAGGTAACAGAAACTACCTTGGAGTACCTTGAGCAATAAAAAATTTCTTCATATGGGGTTAGGCAGGGCCACTGCATTAGTACAACTCCAGGTTGCGAATGGTGTCCTCTGGAGTTGTGCAGTGTTAGGGCCTCCAGTAGGGACATCCCCCTGGAATGTGAGGGCAGGATATAGTCAGCCCTCAGGAAGAACTGGGATGGAAGGATTTTCAACTCTAGCTATAGATCATTTTCTCCCTCAGCCAACAGGGTAGATGACCATTCGGACAGATTTGTAGCTCTTAGTTTCAAGAGACTGGTTTGAACCAGAGCTTGATTCCAGAGTCTTGGGTGAGACTTTGATTGGCATACTAGCTTCACTTAGGTCACCGTGTGCATGTGTAGGCTGGGTGTCATGTGCTACCCACATGACTGATCTGGGCTTATTGTGGTGGAGGGAGGGTGTAGCAGAAAAGAACATTATTATAAGTTCCTAAATTCTGTCCACTACAACTGACCTCCTTTCTGCCCCTTCAAAAGTTCAACCACATGGTCAGCTGCTACCTCTGCCAGGAGACATGGGATTTCCTGATCTCAGGAGCAAATGAAGTGCTATAATGAATAACCAAAGGGGTTGAATGATTTGAGTCAAAGGCATGAAGTTTAGGAGACTTTGATATCTAGAGCAGCGTTCCCCAAACCCAGCTCTGCAGCATTCTTTTTGTGTCTTTTAAGATATTCTGCTGGAAATATATTCAGTGATCAAGTGAAATGAGCCTTTAATGTGCTGCTGCGCACTGTGAAATTCTAAGCAAGGAATGAACTATTCAGCACTTTCTAACTTTAATCTGTGGCATTACCAGTTGCCTCAATGGGGACTCGATGTTCTATAAGGATACCTTTGTTGATCCACGTAACACTTTTCATATCGTGATGGGTTAGATCTGGCTTCTTCAGTTGGATGACAGGGAAGTGAGAGAATACACAGTATGTTTAGACAGTGGCCCTAGTGGTTCATCCTAGTTGTAGTTCAGAAATAGCTGGTGGAGCTAGAAAGGAAGCCAGTGGTATATGAGAAAATCGTGGAGGCCTGGAAGATTAATGTTAGATTTAGTAGGACGGAACCCTGGTGGTGCTGTAAGGTAAGTATTGGACTGCTAACTGAGAGGTTGGAAGTTCAAGCTTACTAACATTCCAAGGGAGAAAGATGAGGCTTTCTGCTGCCATAAAGATTTACAGCCTCAGAAACCTCTTATGCAGGGTCACTGTGAGTTAAACCATTTTACCTGTTTTCATGTGACATTCTCTAGACTATACAGACAATCTTCACCAGCTACAGGGGAACTAAAGCTTTGTGTTGATCAATGGTGAGTTAAGTGGAATGGTGAACTTGACTTGGGCCCAGCTTGTGGTGGGAGCTAGAAGGGGAGGACCTGGTGCCTCACTGGGTAAGGTCAGATCCTGGCCATAGCTTCAAGGAGTTCCTTTTTTCTTTTCTTGCCCAGACCCCTCAGCCCATCAGTCATCCTTTGGGATGTTTGAGATTTGTGTCACGAGGGTCTCTGCTGAACTCCTTAGTGGCGTTTTTTATTAACTGGTTCTTTGTCTCTAAGAGGATCTCTTAGGCTGCAGCTCATGGAGCTCCTGCTAAAGGCTCCAAACAACTTTCTTTGTGAACCTTGACCTTTAAGGTTCATTGTACCAGAGCGATCTTTAACTTGTGTATTACTTGAATTAAAAGTCGAAGGTTTCTGGTACAGAGAGTGTTGGAAATGTATAGTGTTTACATTACGGTTTTCTTTTGTCCAGTTTTAGGATCCAAACTGTATATTTACTAGTAAGGGGTGTTCTTGTAGCCAAGCCAAGTTTATCTTGATGTTTTGGGGTTCTGGGTGCTGTTTCTGATGCAACTTTTTTTTCTTGGCAATTAAAAAACTATTTTTCAGTCCAGTATCCTGGTTGATATTGTAAAAGTCTCTGCCTTGGATAGTTGTTATTGTTGTTAAGTGCCATTGAGCTGGTTTTGACATGTAGCGACCTAGTTTAAGGTTTCCAAGGAGCAGCTAGCAGGTGAGTTCGAACTGCCAACCTTGTAGTTAGTAGTCCAGCACATATTCCATAGTGCCACACCAGGATAGAGCCTAATACACCCAAAGCAGTACCTTGTTAAACTGGGAGGATGGTGGTGCTGGCCAAACCTGAGGTGATGACCAGTCCCCATGTTCCTGACTTTTTCTCCACCCTTCACTACTGGCTGTTGATCCTTGGTGGGTTGGTTGGCTATGTGCTATGGAATTGGTTCCAACTCATAGTGACCCTGCACAGGGTTTTTGAGGCTGTAAATCTTTACGGGTGCAGAAGGCCCCATCTTTCTTCCATGGAGCAGCTGATAGTTTCGAACTGCTTGAGGTTAGCAGCCCGTTTTGTAACCCTGGCACTAGACTATCACCATTGGATGTTTTCTCCTAGATGAGGGCCGTGAACCTTTAATGCCAGAAACATTCGGAAAACATGAAAGGTTAGCCTTGCTTGACATTAGCTATTACTCCTGTTGCTGAAGTAATGTTTTATCATCACCAGCTTCAAGTTTTGTACTTTGTTGTTTTTCCATTCCTTCCAATCCCTGGGTGATTTTCTTTATATAAGCTCTACCTGCCCTTTATATGTGGGGAAGTTCTGTTTCTTCTGTTCAGTGCAGCTTTCCTAGGTACTGAGACTAATGCTGAGAGCAGGCAGGTTAATGTGCAGGGAGGGGCTCTATGGCCGTGTCTGCAGCCAAACACCAGATTTGCCGCTTGCTAGCTGCTTGACCTGACAAAGTAACTCAAATTCCTACGAGTCAGTTAAAGTCTCTGGGGCTTAGTTTCCGTATCTAGAAAAAGGGGATTTTGACATGATTTGCCCTAGTAGCACAATGGTTAAAGCCCTAAATTACAAACCAAATGGTCTCTAGCTCAAACCCACCACCGTCTTCGAGGGAGAAGGACCTGGTGATCTGCTCCTGTAAAGATTAGAGCCTAGAAAGCCATGTGGGTTACTGATGAGTTGGAAGTGACGATGGCACACAACAACCGAAATGAGTTAATAATGAGAAATGATTAATGGAAGTCTGTGTGTTGTTGCTCGGTGCTGTCTAGTTGGTTCCGACTCACAGCGACTCTATGCACAACAGAACAAATTGTCGTTATGCGTGAGCCCATTGCTGCTGCCACTGTGCCAATCCAATCCATCTCATTGGGGTCTTCCTCTTTTTCGCTGACCCTGTCCACTCTACCCAGCATGATGTCGTAAGAGTATCATATTAGCTGATATTATATATATATATATATATATATATATATATACTTTAAAGCCTTTATTGTGAATCGAGTGAAGGTTTATAGGACAGATCATCAGTGTTACATTTAACAAAACGTTGCAATGATTGCAATCCCTTCCATGCACCATCAGCTAACAGTATTACCTTTATTACCCCGCCTTTTTTTGATGTACACATACCACATTGAAAATATATATTTGTGCAAATTTCCAAAGGGCACGTTTTACAAGCCAGCCTCCTGCCTGCAGGCACACTGCCTTTCTC